TTTTTTTTTTTTTTTTTTTTTGCATATTGTCTTGCTCAAACTAATAATAATAAAAACTTGGGTTTCCTCCTTTCAACTCTGAGGAATTTTTACCCCCTGCGCTACAGAACTGATCTGTTAGACTCAATTGAGAGGGGTCTGCTTTTGAAGACAGTCTTTTTTTACCTTAGAGAATGATTCATTTTCCTAAAATTGTCTTGGCCTTAGGCCTCATGGTGACTCAGATGGATCTATGTCCTTGTTACACTGATATCTTTTAAAAACCTGTACCTCTGCGCTTCTAATGCATTTATTCTGCCACTTCTTTTAAACTTTCCATTTCCTTCCTTTGATCTAACATCACGGTGTGAGTTATATGGAGTGTCTTACCATCTTTATCATACTAATTTCATTACCTTGTGGCTTACTGACCTAATATGGATATATATGGATTGTTTTTTTAAAATTTTCCCTACAGGATTAGAGTTATTATTGCCAGTTTTAGAATATTCTTCTTAATAAACTGTTACGCTATTTTTATGGCCTCTTTTCTGTCTGCAGCATAAGAATAATTAGCTGAAGTCGTTTTTGACTAGCAAGTTGGTCTGTGGTTGTTATTAAGCTCATAATTTTTGCCTGCAGAGATACAGGGAACCTGGTGCCGGCTATCCCGGGGAGCAGAGTCCCAGACAGGAAAGGGTAAAGAGCATGAACAAATGGCATGGATGCTGATGACACGAGGCTGTGGTGGATGTGTGTAAGACAGAGAGCAAACCTACTGGGTAGTGAAACACACTTATCCTAATGCTGCTGTTAACACGCTGGAACTGCTGAGAGGCAATTAGGTCTGATTATTTCTGTGTGATACCCACAAAAATGCATAACAGGCCCTCGTCAACGGTTTGCTACGTGCTTTTATTTTGCCCTGGATCTGGCACTTGAGCTCTTCCCGTTCTTTTTCTCTTACACCTCTTTATTGAAGTTTGCTGTGGCTGTAGCAGAACAAGAAGAGTTATGTTTTGTGCTAATCCGTGCGAACATGGTTGCATTGTTTCCACCGCTTGCTTTCTGGATGGTTAAACAACTGGCATTCCATCCTGCCTCCTACAGGCCCAAAGTAAAAGGAAAAATGATGAGGCATTATTTATCATAGAGACTTTGAAGCCTTCTCAACAATGAAATATTCAATGTCTGTCTGAATGGCTCAGTATTCTACAGAAGCATGGGAAAAGAGAAGATAGGCACTCAGAAGAAATGGTTGATTTGAATTCATATTGACAAATTAATTGACATTCCAGTAGGGGCTTTGAATGAATTAAGTCATAAGTGGTAGCCAGCTATAAAACTGTTGCAACTTTCAGAATGTATTCTAACAAAAGACTCTTGTGGGCTGAATGTTTTCTGACAGGCAGTAGAAAATGAATAAGCGTGTGTCTGCAGTGACACAGAAGCCCACAGCTTTATAATAGGCCCTAGTTCTAGTGGAAATGATCTAGTAGGAAGGAGTAGGTGGAACTGAAGGCAGCTGAAAGTAGAGAGTGTTATTGATGCATCTGAATGGGAGGAGTGTTTCTCGTAAGTTGGGTGTGAACCCAATTTTCTGTTCTGCTCTGGAGGACAGTTAGCAATACATACCAGCATCCTGGAATTCCTGACAGATCAAGCCTAAGGTTTCTTTGTGCACAGGTTTGTAGTTCCTGGCCCCCTTACTTTTGAATTCTACAAACAAATCAGTTGAAGGCTGTGTGATACTGTAGGTTGTAGTCCTGTCCTGTACAGGAGGCCACAAGCCAGGTCTGTTTTCCAAGACACTAAATAGACCACACAACAGTCAAAGAAGATTGATGTGAAAGACCAGAATAGCAGAGGTGTCAAATATTGTGCCTGGAATGTGTCGACATGACAATGCAGTAAAAACAAGTAGGGCAGTGAAGTTACAGAAGTAAAATTGGCAACTTCCATGATAGTTTGATTGTGCTGTGATTTGTTTCAGCCAGTCAGTCTCATTAAATGTCCTCTATTTGGAAAGTACAGTGTTCACTTTTCATATACCAGTGGAGACAAACCCATTCTTTATGAGAACTGAAGTGCATTACCATAAAAAATGGTTTCTATGCACAAAATCTGAGAAACACAATTGTGTACAGGTTTAGATACGTATAGAAAATCCTTGAGAATTGAGAACTATGGTGAAATAAGGTGGTGAATAAGCTCCTTTGTGCATGATAAAGCCACTTTTTTTTTTCTTTTTTTGGATGGTAATGCCAGAGAAAGAGGCCACACGCTTGTTTGGGTTTGGCTGCAGCAGTCCTAGGTAGGAGAGTTGTGAATAACGACTAATTCAACTATTTTTTCTTGCCCTTGAGGGTCAAAGCTTAGCAATTAATTAGAACAGTAGACCATGGAAATAAATAATTTCCATTTATTGGAAATAAAAACAGGCTTCACATGGGAGCTCCTCTTATTGTTCTGCATGTGAATTTCATACTTGTTGTCTGGCATTTTTGGTGTCTTTTCTTTTTGGGGCTTTTTTCTTTTTTTTTTTGCTGGTTTGTTTACTTCCTTCCTCCTTCCTCATCTCACAGAGATCTCCTCGTTTATTTTCTGATGACCAAGTGCCTGAGAATATTGAGCAAAGGGCATGTCAGCTGGCTGCCCTCCTGGAGTCCAGACCTGCAGCAAGGCATCAGGTGACTACAGCCCTGCCTATCTGGTGTCCAGTCTGGGATACTGGGTACCAGTGACATCAGGAGGCAGAGGGATAGAAAAATTCACCAAAATATGATGACCATTGCCGTACAGTCATGTGGTTAAAAAGACATTGTGTAGTCTTTTTGTCCTATTGGCCAGTTCTTAGCTGTCTCTTTGTTTTGATGAATGGCAAGATTTCTGTTTCTCAAAACACAATATAAACAATAAGCTAAAAAAACCCAGCCTGCAAGCTTCAGAGTATATGCTGAAAACCAGCAGCACTCCAGATCAAATCATCTCACAGCGGTCATTTACCAGTGAGTTGCTCCCAAATTTTACTTGCTTCTGGAAGCAAGAACATTCGCATTTTCCAAGCGTAATTCCTGCCTCTGAAGTACTATTTTGTGTCCATGCTTCCTGCAAACTTATTTCCAACAGTAGAGTTGGCAGCTTGTGCAGATTTTCTTTGATTCCAGTGTACGCTTGGATTTGGTTTGGTTTTGTGCTTAATTTTCTTTCCAGTGTATCATCTTTGGCACATGGGAGCACACCAGTTTGAGCAGTGGTTTCTTTAGCTTCTGGTTGCTTGCCTCTATCTCTGTTTTCAGTTATCTCCAACAGCATTTGGCAAACTGGAGAGTGCTTTTGGAAAAAGCCATCTACATAAGTGATTTTTTTTCATAACTTACTGAGTTAGCCCATCCAAAATCAAGCTCTCTCCTTGGGCTGGAATATAAACAGTCCCAGAACTTTTGCTGGTGGGCATAACTTTTCCAAACTATGTCAAAAAGAAATTTATAACATTTAGGTTACTTTCTATTGCTGTACTTTTGGGGATGCTGTCTTTGCTGATAATAAAAGTCAGTGAAGCTTTTCTCAAGGAAAGAAGAGTGAACCTTTGGCTGGATTTGAGGTAGAATTTGGGGACATAGAAGAAACCATGAGAGACTGGGTAAGAAGACTAATTTAAACATATTAACATCCATTTGCTTCTGGGTGACACAACTGAAGACTTTAGGCATAATCCAAGGACAGCATGCTCATGTGCATTTCCTTAGTTGGAATGATGATACAGAAATTAATATCTAGATCAAAACATCTTGCTCCTACCTTTTGTGTTGCTCTCTAGCACTTTTAAGCTCCTTTAGGGGGTGGAAAAGATTAACAGCATTACAATGCAAAGATAGAAATTGTTTTTGAAACCATCTAATTTCTGCATAGTGCAGAATTAAGGAGGAGAGAAAATATTAGGGAGATGGAGAACACAAAGTAGAGGAAAGGATAAAGTGGGTAGGGCAGAGAGGAAAAAGAGGAAACAGATGTTGGAACACTGCAGGCAATGATAGATTACGATGTGGGATTTAAGGGAAGAAAACAAAAATAGGGTAGTAAGAGAAAGAAAGCTTAGCAAAGAGAGACATATCCAGAAAAGAAATTTGATGAAGTGTTGATGATCTTAAATACAGAAAATCGAAGTATAAAATAAACAGTTATATTTCTTTAGATTGAGGAAATTGTGAAAACCAAGCTATTTTGCATTTTGTCCAGTAGATGTAATTTTGAGGCTAGGCTATTCTAAGAGGCTTGAAATAGCTGTTTTTGTGGGTCACACAGCTATGTGACATTCATTTTTCCTTTTGATAATGGAAAACATAATTTTCTTGAAAAAGAGGGACAAATACTTGAAACTGGCATAATTTTTCTTTCCAGATTCTAATTTCTAGGCATGCACAGTTTCTACCAGTGGTATTTGTCTGATACTTCACACTATTGTTTTTTTTCCTATTTATGTGAAGTGCTTCTTGGGAGATGGGCATAATGAGCTGTGGAGATAATGATGTTGGAAGACCAAATTTTGGGTTCTCTTGTCAGGAACCAGTTCCAGAAGGATGCAGATCCTCAGTTTGGGATTTATTGCTTCCTGTTTGATGAGCAAGAACAGCAGATTTTTTTGTTTCCCCTCAGCTTACAGTAAATTTTAGGCTGGAAATTTGCTGCTAATTACTGGCAATGCTCACAAGTTGATTTCTTTCTCTTCCATCACCAATGAGAGCAGGCTTTTAGTCCATGTAGTTAAAATACAGAAGAGGTCTCATGTGGCCTTGAAATATGGTATTAGTGCCTTAGGCCAGTAATACAGTACAGTGGGAGATACAGGATGGGGAGCAGAGGAAATTGATTTGAGGTCTTTGGCTGGTTGGGTTTATAGGAGGTTGGACATCTGTGGAAGTAGGTAACTGCTTCCAAATGGTCCTAAATAACTTAAAACCTAATAAAGAACAGATCAAGAATAACAGTCTGCCTCAGTAGGGAAAAAGTGAAGAGACACTGGGCTTCTTTTCTCCAAGTTTTCCTAAAAGAGTCTTTAGGAAATTTGTTTTGATGGTGGGTAGAAGGGCCTGAGGGGTTTTTTTTTTTATTTTCTCTCCTCTTCCCTCTGTAGCCGTGTGTGATTGCTTTGATTTTCATTTTATTTTTTAGCCTGAGTCTCGGCGATTCTTTGTTGACCAGTGGGAGCTCTCCCTTAGCCTCCGTTCTTCTAATCGCCCTTCTTCACCTTCATCTGACTCTCTCCGACAGGTAGCGTTAGCCTGGGCGTTGCGAGGTGCACCCAGCTGTGTTTGCTTCCTGCACCCTGGCCCCACCAGCCAAGGGCACACCACAAGGGATGGCTGGGCTTTTGCAATGCTTCACCTGCAGAATGCCATGTCTGTGCATATTCATGCACAAATGAGAAGCCAGAGGCAACCCGTGGCATAACGTGGTCATTGTCAGCTATAGGGCAGTTTGAAACTAAATACTATATTTCATGTTTGGTGTAAACGAAGAGCTTGTGGTACATCTCACTCTCTAATAGGTTTTTTTTGAGCACTGATGGTCCTGGCTTTGCAGTAAAGCTTTGTTTTTTGCTGGCTGCTTTTGTTGAAATCTTGGGCCAAACTACTATATGCGTTTGTGCATATGTGCTTAATGGACAGCGTGAAATAAAAGTGCTTTGGTTTTCTGAAAAATCACTGAGAATTTGAACTAGTTGCAGTTGTCACACGTAAACACCAGGAACTTGATTTGACCTAAGCTGGAGTGGGTTCTCCTGGAAATGTTGCAAAACATTGTACATCCTGTAGGATTTCCCTACAGATGGAAAGTTAAAATGCTTTCTTTAAGACCCAGTATTAGACCAGATATGATCTATAGGAAAAAAGGCAAACCAAATCAGAAACACAGAACCCCAAATCAGAAATTCAGCAGCTAAATTTCCCTCACCAAATAGTCCAAAGTATTGTGAGTAAAGATTGCCATAAACACTTTTTAAGCGTGGAACTTCATATGTGCTGCTAGAACTCTAAAGATCCTGAAGCAGCTGCAGTTAAGGTTGGATGAAGGATTCAAAGCAAAACTTGTTCAGTGGAAACCTGGTTCAGCTAAAAGAAAAATTTTCCCATGGAAAAAATCGAACTGCCTTTTAAGAAAACTTAAAAAGCTTCAAAGGTTTCTGGTCTTTTAGAGGAATATTGAAAACTTTTGGCCAGATGATGGTGGTTACCAGTTAAAGATCAATTTGAATGAAGGGAAGAAAATTTTTCCAGTGGGCACCTTTTTGAATGTAAAATTTGACAAGATGCTATGTATGACATTGAAAGGCAATTCTGCACTTATGTGTGCGCACACATTGGCTGAGGAAAAATACATAGAACCTGCAAAATTTTGAAAGAAAAATGGTGTGGTTTTTTCTTGCATATATAAATAATGAGTGCTCCACATTTTGGGGTGGAAACAGTAGACAAGTAGAAGTTCTTTCTGGATAGAAATAAACCCTCATTACTGCAGTGGCACAAAGCTTAAAGAATTGGGACTTCAGTGATAGCAGGGCTAATCTCTGATGGCTGAGCACTCCATTTTCAAAATCGTTTTCCCCAAAGTACCACCCACTCAGTGGTGAATTTCAGTTTGTGATGCTTCCTGCTGTTCTCATGTCTGAACATGTGAAGGTCTTAAACATTCCTAAGAGGCTAATAACAACACGTTAGCAATCTGTGCTGTTTTAATAGTTGTGGGAAATAACAAGTGTGCTTCAGGCAAGTTCTACGATGTGACTAAAGGGGGTTTTGAGTTACAACCTCAGTTGTGTAGTCCTTTCCTTCAGAATACTGTTATCTGTGGTATTTTGCACTTGCCAGAAGCTGGAGAGTCTCTCTGATGATCCTTCATTTGCTCAGGAGACTCCAGCTAGAAACATTCATCACGCTGCTTAGTCTGGAAAAGGAAAATTGCTTGGCGTGCTCCTTGCTGCTCCGAGTCAAATACATGGCGTTTGCAGTGGGTTTGAGCTAACAGGGATGTAACCACATAATTTTCTTAACCACGTAATTATAGCCAACGGTTGTAAGTATTTCCTGTGAGAAACACTTCCTCTGCTCCTGCAGTGACTGAACTTGGCTTGCCAACACCCATTTTCTACCATCTAAGGTAACAGCCAACCTGCCTAGATTTCTTGGAATATTGAAAGGTTTTTAGATCTCCAAAGTTATGGAGTCAGTCAATACCCTTGCTGGACAAAAGCCTAGTCATAAAGCCGTGTTCACAGTTAGGGATATGTTCCAGAGGTATGCAGGTATGGCTTTAGCGCATTGGATGAGGCTCTTGCATCTTTTTTTTTCATGTAAAATTCTCTGTATTTTTAGCATTGGAAGAATTCATGTTTTTGAATCACTGAGTTCCTTAGTTAAGGATTTCTCCCTGCGCCATGAGTGCTCTGTAAATGAATTCTTTCCAGTTGCTAAGCATATAAATATGCTGTTGTGATCAGCATGTTGCATTAGACTATGTGACGTGTCTTCCAAAAGGTCTTTGTTTCTGATGGCAATTTTACCTGGAACCTAAAGTCTTAGTTTATATTTGGCCTTGCCTTTAAGAAGTATCTATGCTCAGGTTCACAGGTACAAAATATCCCACAAGCAAAAATAAGATCTGCTTTCTTCATCATTAGAATATTTCTAGAGCACTTAAAGAATGCAAAATGCAAGCCTTCTTTTCCGTTGTTACAGTTGATCCTGGACTGTAGTGGTGATTTCTGATGACACTAGCTTTGCTATTACTACTTGTCACTTCATATTGTCCACTGTCTTGGCATGATTTGACCTCTCTGCACCTTTTCACCACCTAACCTATTATCATTTTAGTCATTTTTTTTTAATTTGATTTTTTTTTTCCTTTTCTCACTGCCCTATTGTTTTATTCCATCCATCTGGTAGAAGTATATAAAGATGTACACAGGCGGCGTGAGCTCATTGGCTGAGCAGATAGCCAATCAGCTTCAAAGGAAAGAGCCACCCAAAACCCTTCTAGACAAGAAGGAACTGGTAAGACGATGTACAGAAGATGGTGCGTGTTTGTGATTTAGATGTGCTGTAGATCTGAAGTATTGTGAGTGTGCAGTTGTTACTACCGCTGATGGAATCTGTCCTAGCTTTGTGAAAGACTTCTCTTCCCTTTCTCCGTCCACCCTCACTCATGTCCTCCATTTTCCTTCCAAAATGTTTTAGTCAAATCTCAGTGTCCAAGAGTTTTGCGTAAATATTTGAGAAACTTTGTCATATTTATGAAGACGTGTTTGATCCATTGGGGCTACTTCTGCATTACTGTTTTCTGGAGGAGATACTGATTTTGATAACGTGGGTCTAAGAATTGCTGTTTGAGGAATTCCTAATGGTTTTGACTTTCCATCATACGCCTCCTTCAGTCACTTATTTCAAGGTCATCATTAATAGTACTGCTGTCCACTATTCCATCCAGAGTTTAGTTTGCTCCTGACATATGTAGGCATGGCATCCTAGGACCTTCTTCCCTTGGACAATAAGGTTAGTTTTTGGTGTCCTGGTTAAACCTGTGAACTACGTCCAAGAACTGTAGCATCCGCGTGTGGAAAAACCGCAGCATCCAGATGCTCCTGTGTCCACAAAAATGAAGAGAAAATAGGACCGTGCAGCGGTGAGGCTGGACACACACAAATTTCACCCTGGCTGTTTCTATCTAGGGCTCACTCAAAAAGGAGTTCCCTCAAAACCTGGGAGGCAGCGATGTCTGTTACTTCTGCCACAAGCGAGTCTACGTGATGGAGAGGCTGAGCGCCGAAGGCAAGTTCTTCCACCGCAGTTGCTTCAAGTGTGAATACTGTGCGACGACTCTGCGCTTGTCATCTTATGCCTATGATATTGAAGATGGTAAGAGAAACTGCCTTTTGGCCCAAATTCTCTTTAACTGTCCTGGAAGTCCGTCTAGTGATTTCACCTCTTTCTTTGCTTAAAAATTATTTGGCGAGTTAGGGAAGAAGGTAACTTCTGTTCCAAAGACACCATCTCTGAAATTGTTGAAACGGTGTGGGTTTCCTGTGGACAGGTCATGCTGACAGCAAAATAACTGAGCTGGTAGGAATGAATATAACATAATAACAGCTGCTAGAATGCAAAGAAACAAAATAGTAGTTGGGGGCTGAGTTTGAAGGCTGGACCCTTTACTTTTACTATCAAATGAGGAAACTCCTTAGTGTTTAATGCCCCTTAGGAGAGAATAGCACATTGAAGACAAATGCAGTCAGCTTTTTCTACTTGAAGACATCGCAACTGTCCAACTCTGTCTGTTTATTTTAGATGTACTAAAATAGGAACTTTGTAATCAGGAGCTGTGATAATAGCTCATTGCTAAGAGCTCATCACTAAAAGAGCTCTATTTATATAGTGAAAAATTGAGCATTAAAATTGAGTAGAGGTAAGTCAATGTTATATATATATATATATAGAAAGTGTTGTTGAAGTAGTTACTTAAGATTCAGTAATGATTCTTGTTTTCTGTATCTGACAGACTGAGGAGGAAGGAAAATGATTACAAAACTTGCTGATGACTCAGTTAACAGATTCTAAGATTTGCCAAGAATTAAGGGTAGCTTCAGATATAGCTAACAAATATGACAAACCAAACAATATGGCAGCAGATGAAACTCAATTGGTCAACAAAATGTGCATATTGAAAGCAATAATTTGAAATCACACATCGCTTGTGAAAAGTAATCTCCTTCTAAGAGTAGCAGTTCCATTCTTTGCTTGAGCAGTGATTGACAGAAAGTTCACGTTTTCTGAAGAAAAGGTGTGAGAAAGTATCTCAGATAAACCTTTATTTATATCAGCAGGTGTGCCTTTTTTACTTCATGGATGCTGTTTATCTTTACTCCTCTCTCAATAGGAAAATATGTGCAAAATGTTGGTATAGAAGCTACAATAACAGAAAAAAGATGTTAGTGCCGATAGTTTTCCCTACTCATTGAACAAAAATTAAGGAAAAATTATAAACTGATATAGCATGGGATGAAACTCCAGAATATTCTACTGCAAATTGAAATGTTATAAAATTTATAGGTATCTGCTGCGTGTAGCTGGGAAGAATCTTTTTGCATATACTGGGTAGACCATCTAGGCTTAAGGGGCAAAAAGCCAAAATTATGTATTTGATGATGTGTTATAGAATGACTTTGTGATGGACTTGCTCTGTCACAAAGACCTGAGCAAACTCAGAATCATCAAACCCGTTTCCCAGTAAGGAACAGAAAACCCATTATGACTTGGCCTGAAGGTCAGCAGGCTTGGCATGCGAGTTTAAAGGAGCCAGTGGTAATTTTGAAGTCTTAAAATCTGACATCTAAAAGTAAAAGCTTCTTCAGTAATCCAAATAGGGGGGAAAGCATTTTTTGAGCCCTGCTGTTATTTTGGGCATTCATAAGTAATTGAATATCTGGTTATATGATTAGTAATAACAGACTGAGCTCCTCTGTCAGCTGTATGGGCTGAGACAGATTTTGCCACCAGATTTAGTGATTCCCTCTGCCAGCAAGCTTGTGTATGCATTTATGGCCAGATAGTTCTCAATGAAGTAAACACAAAGCTCGGAATTTCGGCACGTTTAGAGCATTGATTCTGAAATACTATTACATGCCTGACAGTTGTGTATGTATATGAAGCAGATATGGCCAAACAGAAATATGTGGTAACCCATCTAATCTAACAATTGTGAAAATTTAGCTTATATTTTACTCTGGGTGTTCTTTGAGAGAAAAAAAAATAAAGCTGTGAACGTGTTATTGCCATTCATCTAGCTGTTCGGGCTGATGAGCATTCTGCAGAGTTCTGCAGTCAGTGTCTGGTTTTAGGCTTCAAAGTCTGAGAATTTTTATCTAAGAGCTTTTCTGTTGCTGCTCTTCTCAAATAACTTGAAAGAGCAGTTTTTGGAAAGAATAAATATTAAGAAAGGCTTATTTAAGCAGAGGCTTCTCAAAAGATAGAGTTTGTCATTTTTCCATCACAAAACAAAGCATTGTGAATGCTGGAGAAACTAGAGGAAGGATCAAAGGTCAGAATATAGGTTTGAAATGTGTTAGGGAAGTTGTAGGAATAGGATAGCAGTAGGGGATGCTATGGGCTGTGTATACCAAGCGACATACACTGGAAGATAATTATGTGCCATCCATTTGCTGCTATTATTGTTATTTGCATTAGGATATTACTAGTGCTGCTTTGGCTCCCTGGCAGTGTTCAGATACCAGTGAAAACCCATGTAGATTTCTGGGGTGTTACTAAACCAGTAGTATCACAAAAGGTTTTGATTGTGAAAATGAATCATTGGTTGATTGTCCTTGTCACAAGTAGCCACTGTGCATTTTAGAGATGGTTCTTTGGGAGTTAACGCTGTCCTCTCCTGCTTTTCCTCTGCTGGTTGTATTCATTCTTGCTTTTTCCAAAAGTGCTTCTGCCAGCTTTTCATGTGATGATTTCTTTGTTCCTCACACACTGCCGCATTGTTAGCATGTGATACCACACAAGCCCTCACAGCTTTGCTTTGGTGTTTGATAGGATTTTAAGCTAAATGGCTGTCAGGCACCCAATGGAATGGAGGCTAGTTTGGGGGGGGAGAGAGGAGGGCTGGAGTTAAAACTTCAGATAGTGTTTGCCTCCATGTATAGCGAATAAACTAGATGGAGCAACGAGAATGGCAGCAGAAAATAAGTTGGAGTGAGATGGATGTTTATATTGTGCTGAAGTGCTGTGTTCTCATTGCTGACCGTCCCTCCTGTTTTATCTGCAGGTAAATTCTACTGTAAGCCTCACTACTGTTACCGACTCTCTGGTTATGCTCAAAGGAAGAGGCCAGCAGTGGGTCCTCTGTCAGGAAAGGTAACTCATTATTTTCATCTAACGTGTCATGTTTAATAGCTGTTGATTCTTAGCATTGAAAAAGTAAATACTTCAGAAAGTAGAAGAATTCAGAGTGCATTGAGTTGCGTTCTTATGTCATAAGATCTATGTTCTAAGTTCTATAAATTTTATTTAAAAGCAGTCCCTTTAATCGCTGCTTTTCTTTTCATGGTTTCTTTATAAATAATGTACTATCCCGTTCAGGACAGGATTTTGATTTGTTTTCTTGTCAGCTGAAATACTTATGCAGTCCATGTAGAGACTAAACTAATGTTACCAGTTTTGGTTTTGCTTTGTTTCACCGTGGTTTTTCTTAAGATGAAACAAATTATTTGCATTTCCTTTGAAACATTAAGTTCTACCCCACTTGCATAGGCAATGAAGAAGACCTGCCTTCACTTAGGAAGGTTTTCTCTGTATTAATGCATTAATTAAACCTGCATGGAAAGATAGGATGTCCCTTTTCCTATACTATCATAATGGAAGCATTTGTGCTTTAAATATAGGATCAAGACACACAGCGTAATACAGAAAAGTCTGCCAGCTTTTTTCATTACAAACCAAGGCACTTAATTTGACTCTTTAACCTCCTGTACAGTATTTTTGCATGCTCTGCTTGAGCAACCTATATGGTAGTCTCTAAACAAGTTTTATTATGCTTGGATGCTATGAAATGTCCCTCCCCCTTAAATTATATTTTCCTTTGTGGTAGTGCTTGTCTTTCTACCTCTTTCTTGGGTTTTATTAGTATAAGCTGAAGCTGTACTGCTTCTTTTTGGAAGGATAAGGGATCCATCCCAATATTTGTGCTATGCTTCCTGCCAAAATAAAGACTAAAAGTGGTACTTGTTTTATTTCCTGGATGAGCAGACTTCAGGGATCTTACTGCTTTGACTTTCTTGGATATCTAGCTTGTTTTTCAGAGCTTTAATAAAGCCTTTAATCAATTGCAAAGGAACACGCTTAGTTCAGACCTTATGTGGTGATTAAGGTGTATCTGAATTGCAAGAGGGATGTCTTCCTAGTTCAACGTGTTCAGTACCTATAGCCTCACATGGAAGAAAAAAAAAAGTGTGTTGCTGAGACATTTTCAGTTTTAACATGAATTTAATTTCCTCCACATTGTTACAGGACGCCAAAGGACCTCTGCAGGACGCCATGGCAAGCGATGGCAGTGGACGGGCAAATACCATCTCCGCCTCAGCAGAGAGGGCCCCAGGTAGCTCCGCTTCCTTCTTTACCAGGGTGGTGCAGTACTCTCTTGGCCTCTTTGACAGAGTTAGGGTGGCCAGCCAGCGCCTGCAAAGCACAGTTTCCTCGATTGGGCTCCAGGTAGCCCAGAACCCTTTGGACTCCTTTTTCATGTGTCAGCTGATGGCTTTTGGGGTTCCCTTTCTCTATGTCCAGTCAGAAGTTCTCATGCAGATCCTAGGGGAATTCTGTGGGCAGCCTGCTGACCAGTAAGAACTAATGTGACCCAACTTTATGAGCTGTATAATTTGTGTGATTTTTGCCGTGCCGTGTGAATTTCGTGTGTTACGTGAAAGTCTCAATATATTATTTTGCACTGCGGCTTTGGGGCCTAGATGTTCTCAGTCCTTTCAAGGACATTACCCAGAAGAATTCCAGGAAAACACAGATGCTCAGTTGAGGCTCTTCTCTGAGTGGGCCCGGAGAAAGACCCCTGGTCTGTAATGTATGCAGCTCGGCGTTACTTAAGTTAAAAGTTCTATTGATGCACTGGAATAACTCTCAAACTGGATTTCTGTGTTTGCCTGAATTCTGGGTGTGGTTTCTTGTTCTCCCAAGCTTCTCCTCATTAATCTGGTACTTGAATGGGAAAGATCCCATTATCTCTGGATTGTGTCTCCTTTGGAATTCCGGGTGTCTATGACGGTTAATGGGATTGGATTCCTTAAACCCCTTGAGTTTCGTGGTGATGGCAGGTCATGGTGCTCTTCCCTCACTGCCAGAATCTGTGCTGCTCCTAGCCATGGCTTTGGGAATGGGGTGGTGAATGTGTGTGTCTTGCTGTGAAGTAGTTTTGCCTTTTAACTTGAAATTCTAATTCTTTCTAACATGGGAGAAGTGTCTGTGCTACAAATGCTCGTTTGCCCAGCCCCGAAGTGCTCATTTAGTGATGTCAGGAAAAGGAAGAGATTTGATTCCTAGTATCTGGTTCCATAACACTATGGATAAACTGAATCAGCTGCTTTTAGAGAGGGAGCATACTTAGAGCAACACTGTCAAGAAAAGAATATTTTCACAGTGCTAGTTGAGAAAAGGCCTTAACAACATGCAGGCAAATAAAAATGATGCTTTTGTTTGACTTTATGCATTATTCTTGCAAGCGTTTCTAAGATTAACTGAATGCAGTCCAACAAAAATTTATTCTTAGTGTGGTCAGTTGATTCTTGAAGTGTAGTTACTTTCACAGTTTCCTCTCTTGTTTGTGTGGAATTTCTATATGACAAAATGGAGGAAAGTGAAAAGGTGTGAAAGAATGAGCTTTGCCAAATACTGTGGACAGATGGGAAAAACACAGCATTTTTGTGCAACTGGATAGACTTAAAATTGCTTTCTCTAAAAGTGAAGAGATCTTTTAACCTTTTTTTTAAAGCTGGAACCTATTCTCTAAGATGGATGGAAAAAATATTTCTTGGAGCATAATAGGGCATCTGATGTGAGAATATGGTAATTTATGGAGTGAAGCTATTGTTGATGAGAAGCGGAAGGAGGAGAGTTTAGCTGTATATATCAATTAGTTTATCAAAGCAATTGCTGACAGAAAGTCTCCTTCCTCTGATGTAGTCCTTTCAACTGATTGAATTTAATTACTCATTTTTATAAATGAGCATTCAGTAAAGAGCATCTAAGTGAACACTAAGTAGAGCAAGCAATAGGCCATGGTTTGCTAGAAACTTTTATAAATCGACTATAAATCAGATGTTTCCATCTTTTCTTATGTAGTGGTGGCACAGTCATGTAGCAGAACTGTAGTATTTCCAGAAGAGTAAAACAGAACAGACACCATTTTATCAAATGGCAAAACTTGAAATCTAGAGCTCCTTCTGCTTGTTTTGTAGTTCTCTTAAGCAGTGTACAGCTGTAGCATCATTTTTAAAGCTTTTGGACCTTTTAAAGCTTTGCTTCTTGCAGTGCCCAAAGTACATCAGAACGTACTCAGCTTAGCTGGATCAAGCTAGGTCATCTTTAAGGCAGTGTGTTGTGGTGCATTCTTGTGTGTGCATGACAGAAATACATTTAATGGTGGAAGAGAGGGCAGTGGCTCTGCCTTTCTCCCCCCCTTCTAGAAAAACGCCACTAGTGGCCGAGATTTTTTTCTGTGTGAAGTAAGTTCCAAGCATATCTTAAAACTACTGGCTTAACAATGGTTAAGGAACAGGAGAAAGCTATATGCAGTGTGCTTTAAAAGCAAGCTACAGTGTCATTAAAGGCAGGTCAGTTTTCTCTCAGTGTAACAGTCATGTCCTGTGGGTACTTCCTACATTTAGCTCCTTCTCTTTGCTGGGTAGGTAGGTGAGGAAATCTGTGATGTGTTTACAGTTACGTATACCTTGAAAAAAAACCAAACCGAACTCTTTTGAATTACCAAGCTTGATAATACAGTGGAAGAATAGGATGATTCCTGAATAATCAAAAGGAGTCTATAAGATTGCATCTCAGTATTAACTCCTGACTTTGAACTATCTGTGTATACGCTTTCTTCCAATTCATTAAATTATTTGTTTAAGAGACTATAGACATCCTGCTTTCACTGTAGAGTAGACAAATACCTCGAGCAAAATCCTGTCTGAAATGAACATAGAGACAGAGCTCTGTTTCCAAGGCTCCGCTCTACCGATCTGTTAGACTCATCTCACACAGGTCATACATCTGAACATGTTTGACCTCCCTTAAGACAAGTGCCACCAAATGAAATTTGGCAATAGCCATTTCAGACCCTCAGGTCTGGGCCAGTCCTCAGTAGTAAGGTAAATCCTGATGTGGGGTGTAAGTTGCCTCTAAAATGATTCAGTAAAAAATAGAAAAGTGTGAAATTCACAAGTTTGATATCTGATGGAAAGATAGTTTAGAACGTAAAAGGAAGGTGTACAGCAGAAACATCAATTAAAGAACATACAAGACAAAAAACCCGCTGTTCTTAAATTTCATACCTTTTGAGTTAAATTCAGCAAAGTGCTTGTTCAGTGAGCTTCATGGTGACTCGTACAAGGCCTGCTTTTTAGTTGCCATGGCATCCCAAATGGAGGTAAATTGCACGGGTTCTCCCCCAACACTCACTGCCTCTTTTTCTATGCCACCAAATGTATCCTCATCTTTTTTAGCCAGCTTAATGCTTAAAATGTATTCAACCATAAAAATAACATTCAGAAGGTTTGGTCAGCTGAGGTACGATTGGTCAGAACAAGCACTTGTGATGTGTGACTAACCTGATTGGCATGTATTAACTTTGCTAAAGATGTCAGTCCCTCCCTGGGTGGCCGCAGTTGTAGCTGGCATTTAATGTGTTTAGTCTGTCCCTTGTACTGTCGTGACAATAGTTGCAGGACACAACCTGTGATAAGCAAGTTGAGGTTTTTTTTAGCTGTCAACTAGAGTCTTGCAAAGGTTTTGCCTGGTTTGTGGGAGAGCCTGCGTGGTGGCACCTGACGTGGTGGTTACAAGGGATGTTCCTGGGGAGGTCATGGTCAAACTAACTCTTGCAATAGCAATCAACCTTTCATTTTGGGAAGTGGCAACAAGCTTTTGAGTGATGGATGCCATTCTCTCCGGGGAAGGGAAGTTGGGGAAAGCTGTTACTGTGCTTTTGGTCCTGCTGAACTGTGGCATGCTTGTCGTAGATTCTGTAACCTTTCTCTGTACCCTGTCTGCCAGTTTTTCCTCTATCTTCTGCATTTGCCTTTATGCCAAAATTGCTGCTATTGCCAAGAGAAAAGAAACAACTTTGCCTTTCAGCTGTCTGTCCCTTTGATAATCTGTAACTGCTGTGTCTTGAATTTTTTTGAATATTATTTACAGTACTTTATATGGTTTTAATGTTCTTTTAATGCCAATGCTGTTTTTCTGTTTGTTCTAAAGGTCTGTAAGAACATATTTCTGAACTTTCAGCTCTTTCTTGACAGATGGACTTGGAACAGTCTTTACCCCCATCAGCTTTATGAGAATGCTTCTTGGGGTGTCTTTAGCCAGTGATGTTTTGTTGTAAGATGTTTCCCATTTCAGGCTTGTGTTCCCACAGCAATGTGTTCCTGTCCCTGTTGGCAATGGGGAGTTCGTAAAGGGAAGACCTGCTAGGGAAACTCCTACTTCAAAATGTACAGCAATAAAAGGCAAGGCATGAGATCTTTGCAATAGTTACTTGCCCCGTGAAAGATTTAAGATGCCAAATATAAGCCATAATATGCAAAACTGAAAAATGCAATGCAAAGTAGAGGCGCTAGGTCTTCTGCTTTTTAAAATCACTAAAAGATATAGTGTATATGAGATAGGTATGCAATATGAGTAGTTAAAAATCCTCCTATGGATGTGCCTTAAGTGTGTTCAGGGAGCAATGTTCTGAGAAGATAGAGAGTAGACACAGTCTTCACAGTAGACTCTTAAACAAGTAATCTGTTGTATATAGGAAGCAAAGCTGGACTTTACATGAGGAAGTTCTTTTGCTACTTGACAAGCTAAAGAAGGGTGGCTGCTTCCTCTAAATGGCATGCCCTTCAAATAAATTATCTGGGCCACGTTTTCAAAAGGATCTTAACTATCTGTACAATTTAAAGGAATCTTTATGAATGTATCCAGTATTACTTGCACACAATTCTTCTGTGTCTAATGAAGTGCAAATACATTTCATATGTATTTGTGTAATTAAATGAGCTTCTTGTTCATAAACATTGCCTCTTTACAGTTCTGTATATGTTGAACATGCCTTACTTGTGACAGTGATTCAGCTTGAAGCAATACTGTTTGCTTGTGCAAACAAATATACCTTCATGAAATCCTTCACTTGATCACTGCTTTTCATTATTATTCACATCTGATTTTTGTTCTTCTTTTAATTTGGTATGTTTTCAACATTAAATTACAGAAGATAGCAGCAAAGTAGTTCTGTGACATCATGTTCTGTTTGTGGTGCCTTCATTTTAAAGCACTGAACTCTGTGCGTTTACAAACACATCCGTATCCCACCCTCCCACCCCATGC